TTCAGCAGGCCTTGTCATATAAAACAGACAAAGGCTCTGTTTCAAAGAGCATTTTAAGTGTATTTGTGCCTATCTATTACATTACATGCTTATCAAGTATTTTTGGACCAGATACAATGAGTTTATCAGGATGTGAGGGAGGACACTAGAACTGGAGATGGAGCAAGCAAAGGTACAGATTAAGCCAACAGAATTGGTAACTGTTGTGACCAATGAGTGGAAGGATGAAAATGTGAAGGTCATGCCTGTCAAGCAATGGCTAGCAAAGAGACGGTTTTTGCGGGTAAATCTTTCCGTGAAAATCTTCTTTGGAGCTCATATGGCACCACCTTCTTAACTCCAAAATACTACTATTTCCATCGGTAACATGGCTTTGTTGTAGATAAATCCAATACTAATATGTATAGAAAAAATTAAAAGGTCCACAGTCCAACAAAGAAACCTAATAATGAGAAACTTGACACAAAATTATATCAATATCCAAATCATAGGATAAATATATATCACATAAGATGATCAAAACTATACATGTAAGCATATCATTATTCAAATTCATGGGACTAATTACATATATTACATGCAAATAAAATTCGTAAATAAAAGCATAGTACTAGTAGTAGATACATCATAGGAGTAACTATTTACGTTATACAATAAAAACAATTACAATATAAATATTAATATTTAAGTTACGAAAATTTGTCTTTCATGCCATTATAAACTATATTTAAAAATATTCATTTGCAATGAGTTCATTATGTTTAAACAAATATATAGCTCGTGCATTGCATGGGTTTAAACACAAGTAATTTATATTTGAGACTGAAACCTTAAACAAAAAACCCTGACTTAATAGAATATTCTGTTTATCCTCCTTCACTTTAGATTTTTAGAATGCTTCTGAGGTAATGTTCATTGTTTGATGGTAAATGTCCATAGAAGCTTAAAACACTTTAGTCATACATAGTTTGGTAAAGCCCAATTAGTAAGGCAAGATAGCAGGCCCAAGGTTTGGAGAGTCTACACTAGGAGGAATAAGATTTAACAGATTCTTATCTTTTTGTTATCTATTTAGGAAGTTAATAATTGTCACTGTTTTTTTTTAAAATTAAAAATAGGATTATCTATAATAGATAGAATTATAGGATGATATAGGAAGTTAATAATAGATAAGATTATCTAGGAAGTTTGTTAGGAGGAATACAAAAAGGGACGGGAAGTCTATGGTGATTATCGGAGGTTATTCTTTAAGAAAATGTCCGAGCCTATGCTTTGGGAAAAGAGAGAAGCAGATTACTACCTGTAACTCTTTTTTATTCAATAAAACATTCTTTATATTTCCAAGATCCTAACATTGGTCCGACCTGCCAAATAGCTCACCATGGTCTCTAAAGTTGATGCATTGGAATCCAAAGTTACAACTTTGGATGCCCAATTTCAGGTATTACAGTCCTCAGTTGCTGATCTCCAGCAATTTGTCATCAAGGAAGCACATGAAAATGACACTGAATGCCGCAAAAATGCTGAGTTCTGATCCATGATCACTTAGTGGTTGAAACAGAATGGCGATAATCAGTCCCACAAGGCTAATATGCTTCCTATCCCTTAGTTGTCTCCGATGACTATCGACTTGTAGCAAGGAAGGTTGAATTGCCTTCCTTTGATGGTACGGATCCGCGCAGTTGGATCGCTTGAGCATAAATGCATTTCCATATGCACCGTACCCCACCCGAAACAAAAATTTATCTTGCCCAATTGTCAATGGAAGGGCATGTCATCCATTGGTTTTCCATACTATGGGAGGGTGATCCAAAGCTCTCGTGGTAGAAGTAAAAGGAGGCGTTGCTCAACCGCTTTGGGGACATAAATACCCGAAATCCATATGAACAACTAGCCGCACTTACACAAGAACATTCTGTGACAGAATTTATTGAAGTGTTTAAGTTTTTGTCCACCCAAGTCCCTCGCCTAGCTATACCACAAGCCATCAGATATTTTCTGAATGGGTCAAAGCCCGAAATTAGGCGTTCGAAGCATCTTCACCAGCCAAAAACAATTAACAGGGCTATGTCTCTGGCTCGAGACGTGGAGTGTGCAATATTCGGAGAGGCTGATAGCAAGGGCAAAATTTCAAATCAAAAACCTATGGTCAACAATAGATCAAATTCGCATAAATCTAGTGCTGCATTTTCAAACCAAAAAGGTGCCTTTCATCAGCGAGACAACTTCCATAACTGGAAATATGAACCCAAGTCACCTGGATCTAGGTTCGCGACTAGTCACCCAGGAGATGCAAGCAGTAGCGGAACCCACCACTTATCTGCCCAACAACTGTTTGATGGAAGAAAAGCGGGTTGTGTTTGAGGTGTGTGCAGCAATACAAGGTGACTCACACCTCCAAGGTGTAACTACTAGTCTACAGGCGAATTCAAATTCCAAACCAGGTTTTGAGTATAAACAGAGAATCCTCCTATAACAACATGACATGCTCGTTTAAAATCGCGCAGGCAAAACAATTTCTTCAAAACAAAGCAATCGAATAGAAGATATATAACAAGAATTGAAGCGGCGAAACCGAGGGAGCGCGAGCGAAGTGGCTTAAACCCTAACGGAAGGGAATTTGAAGAAAAAGAAGTGAGTGAGTGAGAGAGAGAGAACCTGGATCTTGGCCTTGACGTTGTCGATGGTGTCGCTGCTCTCGACCTCGAGGGTGATGGTCTTGCCGGTGAGAGTCTTGACGAAGATCTGCATGGCGGTGGAGCGCGAGAGAGAAGAGAAGAGAAGAGAAGAAAGGGAGAGAGTGAAAGGATTGGATGGGTATTTGTAGGTCGCGTAGGGGATGTTATTATGTGGGGACCACTGCAAGGATTGGATGCCTTTTGGTTTTTTTTCTGATGCCTCATGGTCATCGGGAATACAATTCCACTCCCGCCTCTTCCTTCTGCTCTAGCTTAAAGTCTTTATTAATTATATATAAATATAATGTTAAAAAATTGTGTATAGTTATTAAAAAAAATATAATTTTTTTTATATTTAAAGAGTATAATCATCCACAAAAAGTAAAGATAAAAAATAATTATATATTACAATATTTTCTTTATAATAAGTATAGAATAATGAGTTGAATTACTATCAAACTAAAATTAAGTAATGAAAATATAATAAATTAACTTATAGGGAGATCATATACACTTGTTTAAGATTTGATGTGTTTTCATCCCTATTCCTTTAACTCTTCTTGTAAATTTGACTTGATTAGAGTATTGGGTTAGGTTTTTCTAGTGATTTAACTTATCCCTTCAAGATTACTATTCTCAATCCATATGTTTTATTTTATTTCTAAGAGATATCCTGTAACGACCTGTCATGGTCTCTACACTTAGTGTAATATTCTAAATTTATGATACAATATTATCTTATATATATACATATATATATATATATATATATATATATATATTTAAAAGTAATATCTCTTTTTAAATTTTAGTTACCTTATTTAAAATAGATAAAATTGGTTGTATTATTATTATTATTATTTTAGATAGTTATATTTCACATTTTTTTTCACATATATATATATATAGATGACATCCAACAATATTATAAATATTTATCATATTATGATTATATATAAAACCATCTATTACAACTTATATATTTTAATAAGTAATTAAAATAATTAGTATAAATATATATATATGTGTGTACTAACTAATTATATTATAAATATCGCCTATGGAAAATAACTTATTATAAATATGCATGATGTTATAGACATATAAGATAAAATGGTTCAGTGGTTTAACTAGTTGTACTTAAGGATTTCGTGTCCTGGGTCCTGGGCTCAACTCCTACCAGGGCCCTATATACTTTTTGAGGAAAATATATATATATATATATATATATATATAACTTTTCCATAGTACACTGGGTCACGTATATGGGTCAACAAAGAAACGTGGGTCAATGGCCACGTCCACGTCAGCATGTACAACTAAATCGATAGATTCACATGAGATACCTTTTTTATAATATAAAAAGGGTATCATTTCATAAAATAGAAATTATCTTTTGGAGAGATGGTTGAGCAGTATATACACCTGGGCAGTAAAGATTCTTCCGTAAATTCGTAATTGAAGCAAAAACTGCTCCTATAAATAAACAACTAAATCGATAGATTCACATGAGATAACTTTACCGCGGATAGATAATATAAAAAGGGTATCATTTCATATGCTCATGTTCTATTCAGTGGAATAAAGATAAAATAGAAATTATCTTTTGGAGAGATGGCTGAGTGGTATATACACCTGGGCAGTAAAGATTCTTCCGTAAATTCTTCTCTATCAGAGGTTCATAAATGCAATCTTCAGGATAAGGGATAACAATAAATCTTCAGGGTAAAGGATAACAATGTTCATAAATGTAAATATTCTCCCGTACCATACATTACGCACTTCCTTACGTAATTGAAGCAAAAACTGCTCCTATAAATAAACAACTAAATCGATAGATTCACATGAGATACCTTTACCGCGGATAGATAATATAAAAAGGGTATCAATTCATATGCTCATGTTCTATTCAGTGGAATAAAGATAAAATAGAAATTATCTTTTGGAGAGATGGCTGAGTGGTATATACACCTGGGCAGTAAAGATTCTTCCGTAAATTCTTCTCTATCAGAGGTTCATAAATGCAATCTTCAGGATAAGGTATAACAATAAATCTTCAGGGTAAAGGATAACAATGTTCATTAATGTAAATATTATCTCGTACCATACATTACGCACTTCCTTACGTAATTGAAGCAAAAACTGCTCCTATAAATAAACAACTAAATCGATAGATTCACATGAGACACCTTTACCGCGGATAGATAATATAAAAAAGGTATCAATTCATATGCTCATGATCTATTTAGTGGAATAAAGATAAAATAGAAATTATCTTTTGGAGAGATGGCTGAGTGGTATATACACTTGGGCAGTAAAGATTCTTCCGGAAATTCTTCTCTATCAGAGGTTTATAAATGCAATCTTCAGGATAAGGGATAACAATAAATATTCAGGTTAAAGGATAACAATGTTCATAAATGTAAATATTCTCCTGTACCATACATTACGCACTTCCTTACGTAATTGAAGCAA